GTAGTATCTGTTTTTGTCAATGTATGCAGCAACATGCTGGATCCTGTTTGAATATCCAGTTTGTTAGCTTATGTCTTTTTATTGGGAAATTGAGTCCATTAATACTGAGAGATATTAAAGACAGATGATTGTTAGTTCCTGTTATGTTTGTTGATGTAGGTGGCATTATGTGTATGTGATTCTTTCCTTTTGGTTTTGTTTCAAGATGATTAATATCTTGCTTTTTCTTTGGTGTAGATACTGTCCTTGTTTTGGAGTTTTTCTTCTACAATCCTCTGTAGTGCTGAATTTGTAGATAGATATTGTTTAAATTTGGTCATAGAATATTTCTGTTTCTCTCTCTATGATGCTTGAGAATTTTGCAGGATATAAAAGCCTGGTCTGCCATTTGTGTTCTCTTAGGGTCTGCAGATTCTTTTGGCTTTTAGTGTCTCTGTTGAGAAGTCTGTGTATAATTCTGATAGACTTGCCTTCATATGTTACTTGGCTTTTGCCTTTTCCCCTTACCCTTAAGGGGAATTTAATATCTGGATTTCCTGGATATTTTGGGTTAAGAGTTTTTAATGTTTTGTATTTTCTTGACCACTGTGTCAATAGCTTGTAAGGTATCTTATATGCCTGAGATTCTCTCTTCTATCTCTTGTATTCCAGTGTTGATGCTTGCCTCTGTATATCCTGACCTCTTTCCTAGGTTTTCCATTTCCAAGATTGTCTCCATTTATCTTTTCTTTATGGTTTCTACTTCCATTTTTAGGTCTTGGACCACTGTGTTCAATTCTTTCACCGGTTTGATTGTGTTTCCTTGTATTTCTTTAAGGGATTTATTTGTTTCCTCTTTAATGGCTTCTACCTGTTTACCTGTGTTTTCCTGTATTTTTTTTTTTTTTTTAGTCAGTTATCTATATCCTCCTTAAAGAACTATATTCTCTTCATAAGATAGGATTTTTGGTCGACATCAGTTTTCCGGTGTGTTGGGTTATCCAGGGCTTGCTGTAGTGGGAGAACTGGATTCTGATGGTGCTAAAGTATATTGCCTTCTGTTGCTTATGGTCTTGTGCTAGCCTCCTCTCTTGCCATCTGGTTATTTCTTGTGTTATCTGGCCTTGGGTGTCTCTATCTGGAACCTGCCTCCTGTGTCCCTGGGTTGCTGTAAATCTCCTGGGAGGCATTCAGATTGTGGGTTCTTCAGAGGGGCAGACATGCTGATGATGGACCCTGGCAGAAGGTGTAGGACAAAAGGGAGGTGGAGCTCCAGTGAAGGGGATGGTCCCATGTCAGCTGGCCTCCTCAGGTTCCTGCTGCTGAGGCTATGTGGGCAGGTCCCTTTTCTTGACCCTAGATGCAGCAGGTCTCCTGGGAGGCCTTCAGACTGTGGGATCTTCAGAGGGACAGACTTGCTGATGATCTGAGTACTTGTTTCTTATGTGGAGAACCTTAGTTTAGTTCCCAGTGTCCACATAGTAGCTTATCAACTTCAAATTCTTCAGTTCCAGAGAATCTAGTACCATATTCTTGCCTTTGTGGGTACCAGGCATATGGTGCATGGAATTAGAAGCTGGCAAAACACTCATACATTCGAAATAAAATTTTAAAACGTCTTTAAAAAGATTGTCTTCATCATGAGCCATAGGTTTGGCCAGGTTGTATTTCCATTTTCATTTAATTCTACATTAAAAAAAAATCACCTCAATTTTTTTAGTGGTATATTCAACACTTGATGTTGTGTTTTTAAATATCCATTCTTATTTTAATTATATTAATTATTATTATTAATAATAATTATAATTATAATTATAATTAATTATTATTATTGTGGTGGAGGTGAATAGCTCAGTAGTACAATTTGCATCAGGGAAATAGTGATAACACTAGCAGTTTATTTATTATACAAGGTAGTTTTTTTTAGCTATCCTCTGTGTGTGTGCATATATATTTGTGTGTGTGTGTGTGTGTTTCCACCAAAGCTGAAAGTTGTCCTTTCAAGATCTGTGAAGAACTGTATAGGAATTAATGGGTATTGCATTAAATTTATAGATTGCTTTTGGTAGGATAGCCATTTTTACTTTATTAATCCTACCATTACATCAGTACGCGAGTTCTTTCCATCTTCTGATATATTCTTTGAATTCTTTCTTCAATGTCTTAAGACACAAGTCCTTCACTTACTTGATTATAGTTAATCCAAGATTTTTTATACTTTTTTGAGGCTATTGTAAAAGCTGTTGTTTACTTGTTTTCTTTCTTAGTCTGATTATCATTTGTATTGGAAGTATATTAAATTTTTAAATTTAATTTTATACCCAGCAACATTGCTGAAAGTGTTCATCAGCTCTAAGCATACGCAACTGGAATTTTTAGGGTTGCTTATGTACATTCTCTTATTATCTTCAAATAGAGATACTTTGAGTTCTTCCATTCTAATTTGTATTCCCTTGACATTCTTCTGTTGCTTTATTTCTCTAGCTAAGTCTTCAAGCACTATATTAAATGGATATAGTGAAAGTGGACAACCATGTCTTATTCCTGATTTTAGTGAAATTACTTTGGTTTTTTTCTTCATTTAGGTTAATGTTGGCAAAAGTTAGTTGTAAATTGACTTTATTTTGTTGAAGTATGTCCCTTGTAACTATATTTTCTGGAGCACTTTTGTTATGAAGAGATGTTATATTTTGTCAAGTGTCTTTTCTTTATCTAATGAAATATTTGGATTTTATCTTTAAGTTTGTTTATATGTTGGAAAACATTGATTAATTTATGTATGTTGAACAAAACTTGCTTCTCTGGGATGAAGCCTCTTGATCATGGTGGATGATCTTTTTGATGTGTTCTTGCATTCAGTTTTCAAGTATTTTATTGAATATTTTCATATTCATGTTCTTAAGAGAAATTGGTCTTTAATATGTTTCTTAGTTAGGTTTTTATGTGGTTCAGGTATCAGAATAACTGTGGTCCCATAAGATAAACTGGCATTGTTTGTTCTGTTTCTATTTTGTGGATTAAATTCAGGAGAATTGGCACTAACACTTCATTCAGTCTGGTAGGATTCTGCACTAAAATGTGGTCTGTGGTCTTTTTTGGTTGGGAGAATTTTGATGATTGCTTCTATTTCACTAGAGATTATAGGTCTGTTGAAATTGCTGATCTGATTTTGATTTATGCTGATAAGTCATATTTATTTTCTTTTTCAGCTCTGTTGGCCAACGTTGAGGTAGGAGCAATAAAACACATTACTTAATCCCACTCTGGTGGACATGCTTATAGGTATGATTCTAGTGTTGGGAAGAGACTTTGCCTAATCCTGAAAGTCAAGCCTTAGATATGGACTCGTCTAGCAGGAAGCATCTCTCACCATGCAGGACTACTTGGAGTTGGAGAAGGGTATCACAGACAACTCTAACCTGCAGCTTCTTGTTTTTAAAAATTAAAAGCAGAAACTATGTCAAATAATATTCTTAGCTCTTATGACACCGTTTTTTAGTGGGAGGTATCAACAGAGGGAGGCCCCTGAAAGATCTTAGTCAGCCATCATCTTGCACTGTCTTTACAAATTAAACTTTAATTGGTTAAAGTTTATATAATTAAAGCTCCTATAAAGTTTAATTATTGACAAGATTAAGTATAGGAGCCCTAAATTAATCACTACTCATTAATTCTTGACCAATAATTTTGGTAGGTATGTAGAAGCATAAAGTTAGATCATCTCTGCCACCTTAAACAGTCTTTTCAGATATCTGTTTAAAAGAAAAACTGTAGTAACCCAATATATAGATAGGCTGCACTGTGAATTTTCTGTCTCCATTTTCTAGTAAAGGATAATAATAGCTAATCAAACAACAAAGTGATCAAATTTGTCAAGCTAAAGGCCAATTAAGTAGAAAGGAGGAAAGAGAAAGAAAAACAAGTCTGATTATTCATTCAGTGGGAGGATTTCCAAAACCATGCCTGAGCAATGAGTTTGCTATTTCCATGGCACCAAGTTCTCTTGATGCTGTTGAGTGATGTCTCATTTCCACTCAGATTTACAGTTGGTTGCAGGTGTCTTCATTATTGTCAGTGATTGTTGTAAGGCAATAGTCACCTGAAATCCATCTTTATCCAATAACTCAATGTAAACTTTTCTTCTTCTATCTTCACTTACATTTCTGAGATGATCAATTATTTCAAATATGGTCAGCAGGTTAACAGGAGTCTGTCTCTTGTAGAACTACTATGTGTGCTGTCAGGGTGAGTGTCTATATCTCATTACTTAGGCCTAGCCTAAAGAAGTAGAAACCAGGCAGGAGATTTTAGCTTCCCACTATTTTAGTATGAGATCTTTCCAATTTGAGTTTGGGGTATAGAAGACAACAAACACGTTTCTTTTTCCGTAGGCCAATTTGAATACCTTCTCTCACTTACAGCAGACAGACTTGCTTCAGGACACTGATTTTTCCTTGAAAGCATGTCTGAATGTGATACTGTTATTGACTCCGTGACAGCCTATCTTAGGATATTCATTGTTTACAGCAGTACCTCACTTATTCAGAGTTATTTTCCCAATACATACAACAGACATCATCTACTAGTACAATTTAGTAATACTAAATGTCTGAGTAATAGTCCAAAGCCAAGTGTTTTCTGAACAGTGTTTCTAAATGTTCAATAAGCTAACTCTATGGAGCTACTTTTATGTGCAGGAAAGCTATGGTTTCTGTCAACATTACACTGACATACAGAATGTACATTGAACAGTGGATCTTTCACAGGATCTGACATTGTCTAAGTTCTCCATCATCAGTGAAAATAATTTTTCTTGACGGAATATGTAAAATTTCTCTGAACTTGTTTGCTTAGCAGTAGAAAGTGCTTACCTCAAGGGTAGACACTTGTGAGTAACAGGTTCTTTGTAAATATAATTCCTGCCAGTACACAGGACCTAAGCAGACAGCCAGAAACAGAGTGGAATAACTAGTTAATTTGAAAGCAACATGCTTGGAGTGGACAAAAATCAAGGCCAGGGCTGCATAACACTGACATTTTTATTAGAATTCATTTGTAACAAATGGAACCTGTGTCAGCAAAGAACTGATTTTCATACAGACTTCTTTCGCCACCAATGTAACGAAGTAAGAAAATAAAAAGCACGCCTTTCATTCTGTAAAACACTTACGCGTACTACTAATTAGAGGTAATTGTATTTTTTTTAACAAGCCATTTTACAAGTTATTTTTTTTGAATTTTCAGTCTATGCATCCAAAACGAGAGCAAAGAACACAACTGTTATCTTTGTAAAGACACTCCAAGCTTGTATGGCAAAGCCATGTAACAGATGGATAGGATGGATCTGTAGCCTTCTGACCTCTGCTGGAGTATCAGGGCACCCATATACCCAATGGAAATCAAAACCAAAAGAGAAAAAAAAATGGGAAGGGGATTTTAAAATGACAAGAAAGACTGAAACAAAGCTAACCCAAAACGCAGCAGGAAAGAAAAAAACTATATGTGCTACTATGAATTTTTTCCTTTCCTGTTGTGATGTGTTATCCACAGACACATAAATGAACTTCTGAAGCAGTACCTTACAGATGGGTTCAAGTAATAACATTATTGGGTGTAGAATCAATAGGGCAGTGCATAGTACAAAGGTATAGAAAGTGCAAAGTTCCCTAGAGGCCCTTCCCTCCCCTGGCTGTCCTTGCCTTGTCTAACCATGCAAACCATTTTTAAAAAAGAGCTAAAATAAAGTTCTGTACAAATCACTTTTATATATTTGATATTTTACCATTGTAACTAATTACAAAATTATACATAACTACACATACATAGGTAAATAATAGCACCGTACTGGTTATGATGATGAAAATAACTGGAAAATCGGATGTTTATGGTAATGGTAGATACTGATGTCTGCCTGGGAAATTAAACTTGAATGGTCATAGAGCAAAGTACAGAGTGGAATGCACATCAGTGACAGTGGGGAGTTAGTTCTAGGAACAGCTCCTGATTCTGGAGTAATGCCCACCTCATCCTCCTACAGGACACATCCCATTCGTTGCTTTTGGTGATTACTATTGTTTCTCTTTCTGCCATACAGGCAGCTTTTGTTGTAGAGAGAGAAACTGCTCAATGGCCAGTCATTCTGCTGTGTGATATTCCATTAGATCCCACATGTCCAAAATGGCATGTCTAGATGACACAATAACCTATCTGACCTCCCTTGTTTCACTAAAACAAAATTACAGCACTGAGCAACCTGGCACTTGGATAAACCTTCACTGGTACAGGTGAAAAGAAAACAATAGACTCACACAGTGCACATACTATCTGGTTCTGATGTAGATTAGAGAGTCTCATTCTGAGGTAGCCTTCTAGTTTCTTTTTTTTTTTAGTATTATATATATTTCTATTTTTTCTTTTTTGTTTTTGTTCATTTTTTTTAACTTTTGTTTTTTGTTTTTTTAAAAAATGCTCAAATATGATACTTGCAAGTGTTTGGGCTCTAGGATTTTACTCTGCTAGTGATGGGAAAATGTGAAAACAAATACCCTTCCATGCAGAACAACATGAAGCTAAAATTAAACCAAAATATTATACCTGTATCAAAACTCTTTAAGAGTTCTTAATATTTGTGGAAGTTATTTTAAAATCATATAGCATGTGGCAAACTTATGCCATCATCCATGGCTTCCTATGGAAATGTTTGGGGAGATACATACATATATATAATTTATTGCCCCTTTCAGAAAAATCCTAATGGAATATCAAATATATCCTGAAGTTGTTTCTATAAATAAGACTGGTGGTTACTGCATGCTCCAGAGTAGATGTGGAAGGAATTCGAAGTGAAACAAGTTGCTCTTTCTGATGTGACAATGAGGAAAGGAGAGGCTCTGATTATCCAAGTGCTTTGGGCTGGTACAGTCACTAACATCCCCCACTTGGCTGAAAACTAGGAATGCATATTATTCAAAGAGTTTATATACATGTAGTGGACAGATAATGTTTTAATTGAAAGAGAAACAGATGTGAACACCTAATGGAAATCAGAACCGAAAGGTAAAAAGAAATGCTATTAAAATAGGCATCAATTATAAGGCACTCTAAATGCAGAACTAAAACCGAATGAAACAGCACAGCGCCTCCCAGGAACGCCGCAGCCACAACATGTTTCTGACTGAAAAGAGTAACATGAGTTTGGCTTTGCCCCTGTTACATATCATAAATGCAAATTTCATAGCACATACTATAGACAATATATGATTGAATATACTATTTTTTTTAAAAAAACAACTTGATAGCTGATATATTACAACATTCTTCCCTCCTAAAGGGATATGCACTGACCTTTCCCACATGCACACCTCTTAGATATTTAACAATTGTTATTGCACTAGAGTGTTAGAAATATTGAATTTTGTTGGAAGCCTGGCTAACAGAACAGTATTCGTGGATATGGTTGGGTAGATGGGGGAATACAAAGCTGGAAAGTTAGGGACGAGGCTCAATAACCAATGATTTGCACTCCTCAATTCCCTTTACAAATTAAAGTTTTGCAATATTAAAAGTAATTTGGAAAAGATGTTTACAATCACTTTCTATACTGAAAAACAAAAACGAGAAACCTAAACCATGGAAGAACTGAATGGCAGTTAAATCTTTGTGTGGACATACTGTCTATATATACATAGATACCCTTAAAATATAGATATCTATGTATATATATGTTAGCAATAACTTTATACTTTGCGCCTCCCTGTTGATTCCGAAAAGAAAACGAAGCAAAACAAAATTCCCCTTGAAGCTTGCAAAGAATGGGCACTTTCTCATCAGTTATACAAAACAGATGTGTGAATAATAGCTGTTGAGATAGGTACTGTAGATTGAATTTTGCACAAAAATGTGCAAAGTTTAAAATTATTCGATATTTCTACAGCAAGATATTACAGGTATCCATTCATTCTACAGCTTAAAAAAACCTAGAGTTTAGAAATTAAAAAAAAAATGAAGAATTACATAATGTTTTAAATTTACTTTATAGAATGATACATTTTTTTTTTAAAAAAAAGTTTACACAGTTAGAAATAAAGCACAGGTCAGCAGAATCTTTACAACACTAAAATGAAATCAAGAACTTTCTTTTTTAAACATCCCCACCCTTACCCCTAAAATGTAAGTATGAGTGGCATGGGGAAAGTGGCAATGTTGAAGCAGAGTCCACCTTATGTGAGAAGCCTCACCAGCAAATGCCTTGTGCTGAACTCAGGCCCACAGGCAAGCTCTCTCTGTCCCTATCCAGCGATCCTGAACAAAATGGTAGTTCTTTGCTGTCATTTCTTCTTCCCTTTATTTTGAATCCTTGAGGTATCTATAAGTAAAATCCTTCAGATGCCTCCTAAGTCAGGATTCTTGTTATTATTTTTCAGGTTAGATGATTAAACTGTAAATTCTTGGTCCACTTGGAAGAGTTTGTTTTTTTGTTTTGTAATAGTCCCACTAAGTGGCTGTTAGCTAGAAGTTAAGAAGGACTTCTCAAGTGCCCCATATGGCTCAGAAGAGACTCCATGGATAGCGAAGGGCCTGTAGTAAAAATCCAGAAGGGGTCAGGGGTTTCTACGTTGCATAGTGATCAAAGCTGCCCAGGTATTCTAGTGCGGCTCGATAGCAGAACTGGTATTGATCCTGTAGGACACAAGGTATTTGGGGAGAGATGAAGAAAGTAGATGTTTTAATTAAGAAATAAAACCAGTATTGTAAAGAAAAATTATATCTATAGAGCAGCAACACTATCACTTTAATTCAGCCCCGATTAGCAATGGACAGTGAACAAAGAACAATTAATTATGTGAAGGTTTTAACTTCACCAGTCAGCCCAATACCAAAACAGGCTTCTAATTCCAAGCCAAAATAACTCCAGTGAGTATTTTTGCCCTTTTTATGTGCTACAACCATCTTTCACAATGATCTAAGTATCTGTGATAATTTTCAGTTGAAATGATTATAAAGCTCCTTAAAGGCAATCTGAATTTGAATTTTTTTTGGCTGCTTTCCAACCTCTGAGAGGCCCAACAAGATGTCTGAGACAAGAAGATACTTATATCCAACCAATGGATTGAAGTTGGGGACCCCTGTGGTTGAATAAGGAAAAGGCTGGAAGAAGCTAAGGAGGAGGGTGACCCCATGGGAAGACTATCAGTCTCAACTAACCCAGACTCCTGAGATCACTCAGACACTGAGCCACCAATAAGGCAGCATACATTAGCAAGTCTGAGGCCTCCACAGCACAGGATTACTAGGTCTGGCCTCAATGAGAGAAGATGCACCTAACCCTTGAGAGACTGGAGGCCTCAGGGAATGGGGAGGCCTGGCAAGGTGTGGGGGTTTGTGTGTGTGGGGTGTGGGGTTGTGTGGACATCCTCTTTGATATAGGGGAGGGGGAATGGGATGAGGAACTGTAAGAGGGCAGAGCAGGACAGGGATAATGACTGGACTATAAAAAAAAATTAAAGAAAGAAAAAAAGTCAGCCAAAACAAAATGAAGTTGGCAAGATGTCTTCATGATTGTGTCGACTTGTGACCAAGTCTGATGACCTGAAGTTAATTCCTGGGATCCACATGACAGAATGAGAGAAATTACTTGCACAAATTACCCTCCAATCAACACACATGTGATCTGTGGCATGTGTACTCTGCCCCGACACAAATTAAAAACAAAAAAAGTAACAGCACCAGATCAGACATCATAGTCAGTCGGAATTAACAGCATCTATGATAGTCCCATGTAAGGAACAGAGATAGAGAAGATCTTATGTGTCTATGAGAAAGGGAGTTGTTCTGGACACCTTTATGTCAACTTGAATCTGAGAGGATGGGACCTCAATTTTATAAAATGCCTCCATACCAGTCTGGGCCAAGCACTGAGCAGATCCCAGGCAGCAGCTCTGCACCCACTCTCACAAAAGCTAGAAGAAGTAGGCCTCTCAGGAGCTCTAACCCGGGCAGTATCTTAGGTAAGGAGACAGCAACACCCGCCCCAAACAGGGAGTAACTGGGACCCACTGGGACCCACTGGGACCCAGGAATTCACTCCTGACCCTGAGCACTGGTTCCTTCCAGTCTGCACCTGAGCACTTAGCAGATCTTGGGCCTCAGCTCTAACACCAGTAGTAACACCCACCCCACACAGTTCTGATACAGCTAAGATAATAGGAAAGACAGGCTCCAGTCAGAGACAGGGCAGGTAGCACTAAGAAGATCCAGATAGCGAAAGGCAAGCACAAGAACATAAGCATCAGCAACCCAGGGTACTTGGCATCATTAGAACCTAATTCTCTCACACTAGAAAGTCCTGAATTCCCCATATCACCAGGAAAGCAAGATTCAGATTTAAAATCACTTCTAATGATGATGATAGAGGGTTTTAAGAAGGACATAAATAATACTCTCAAGGAAATTGAAGAGAACACAGGTGAACAGGTAGAAGCCCTTAAAGAAGGAACACAAAAATCCCTTAAAGAATTACAAGAGAATACAACCAAACAGGTGAAGGAATTGGACAAATCCATCTAGGACATAAAATTGAAGTAGAAACAATAAAGACATCACAAAGGGAGACTACCCTGGAGATAGAAAAACTAGGAAAAAAATCAGGAGTCATAGATGCAAGCATCACCAACAGAATACAAGAGATAGAAAAGAGAATCTCAGGTGCAGAAGATACCATAGAAAATATTGACACAACTGTCAAAGAAAACATAAAACATCCAGGAAATCCAGGACACAATGAGAAGACCAAACCTAAGGATAATAGGTATAGAAAGATTCCCAACTTAAAGAGCCCATAAATATCTTCAACAAAATTATAGAAGAAAATTTCCCTAACCTAAAGAATGAGATGCACATAAACATACAAGAAACCTTCAGAACACCAAATAGACCAGACCAGAAAAGAAATACCTCCCTTCACATAATAATCAAAACATGGAATGCATAAAACAAAGAAAGAATATTAAATGCAGTAAGGGAAAAAGGCCAAGTAACATATAAAGGCAGACCTATCAGAGTTACACCAGACTTCTCACCAGATACTATAAAAGCGAGAAGATCCTGGACAGATGTCATACAGACCCTAAGAGAACACAAATGCCAGCCCAGGCTACTATACCCAGAAAAATTCTCAATTACCATAGATGGGAAAACCAAGATGTTCCACAACAAAACCAAATTTATATAATATCTTTCCACAAACCCAACACTACAAAGGATAATAGCGGGAAAGCTCCAATACAAGGAAGGAAATTATACCCTAGAAAGAGCAAGAAAATAATCCTCTTTCAACAAATCCAAAAGAAGAGAGCCACACAAACAATGCCACCGCTAATAACAAAAGTAACAGGAAGCAACAATCTTCTCTCCTTAATATCTCTTAACATCAATCGACTCAATTCCCCAATAAAAATACATAGGCTAATGGACTGGATATGTAAGCAGGATCCAGCACTTTGCTACATACAGGAAACCCACCTCAGTGACAAAGATAGACACTACCTTAGAGTAAAAGGCTGGAAAACAAGTTTTTAAGCAAATGGTCCTAAGAAATGAGCTGGAGTAGCCATTCTAAAACCTCCAGCCTGAGAACACAAAGGGAGGGACTCACAGCTCCACCTGTATAGGTAGTTGAGGGTGGCCTTGTCAGGCATCAGTGGAAGTTGAGGGCCTTGGTGCCTGAAAGTTTGGATTCCCTAGAGTTGGGGAATTCAAGAGCAGGGAGGCAGAATGGGAGGATGGTGGGAGGAGGGAGGATGGGATAAGGGGTTTTGGGGTGGAATGGGAGAGGAGATATCATTGAAGGGCAAATAAATAAAATATCCAATTTAAAAAAAACAGATAATGGGTCTGGCAATGGTAGTTGAGTAGTCGAGACTTTTTGACAACAATTTATTACAGGGATTTTGTATAAACCTCAAGGAAAAGATATTGTGGAAGAGGCCCATGGAACTTTAAAATGATTGGTGAGACATACTGTTGCTGAGACAAAGAATGATGCTGACCTGTGAGCTTGCTGAGTGCCCTGACAAGGGTGACCGAGGAGCTGTATTGGACAAATGTTCCTGACCCACCTTTGCTTGACTATATCCCAGATGGAACAAGCTGCCTTGCCTCAAGTTTTTAGACCTTGTGGGATAGAGAATCGAAAAGAGAAATTATGTCTCTTGTATTCTTCTTAAAGGTGCCCAGATATTAGGACTCAATCATTTACTGGTCTAGAAATCAATCTAATATGGGAAATAACAGTCTACTTTTGGAAGACTGGATCTGGACTTTGTCAGAAACATATTTGGAAGCTAGCTGTAGCTCGCTATGATGTTAGGATAGCAAGAGATAATGTTGGGACAGGATCTGGATTTCAAACACGGGTTAGTGCATGTTTTAAGGCTCTATTAATTGTCAAGCTAAAATTGGTTTTGTCTCTTCTACAGCATTCATTGTAAGTTGCATTGAATGTATAATTTCTAATTATGTTAGTGTGTTTAAACCTGTCATGTCTGTTATGGGGGTCTATCAACCAGCTTTCGTCTCACTGCCCTAAGTATTAGAAAACCTCAATTCTCTGAAGAAAAAAAGCTTGAAAGTGCTGGAAGAAGTGAGTTGGGCTTTAAACAGAAGCAAGAGGATAGCAGGCTTGATTATTGCTGGTATAACAGCTTTAATTCCATTAATTGCTAGCACCACTGCTTCTGCAATAGCATTGACACAAGGAGTTAAGACAACTATTTTTGTTAACCATATAGCAAAAAAAAAAAAATGTTACTAATGTATTGAGTATAACAAAAGGATTTATATAGGTATCTGGAACAACAAATGATGCTCTATAACCCATTCAAATTATCTGAAGGAGGTTCAGGGTTCAAGAGTTAGGAGCCATTTCAAGTGTTATGACAAATATTATTGGAGTAGTGTTACTTTTGAAATTCACAATGATTGTCATTATAATTAGAAAAAAGTTTAAAGACACCTATAGGATATTTGTCATAATCCTAACATCTTTCTGGGTGGATTACCTTTGTATAGTGAGATTATGAATTTAAAGAATGCTGCTCTGTTGACCTTTGATGCTGCAAATAATGCTGATAAATTATCCATGGCCTGAGCTCAGTATTTCAATTTTGGACAGACCTGGGGAATGACATATATAGCTTGATCAGGCTAGCCCTTCTTGGCCTGGGAATACTTTTATTCTTGCCCATCGTGTTAAAGCTTATCTTTAACAACATCAACATGTTGGCAGCCAAAGAACATGGCTTAAACTTGAAAATAAACCCCCAGATAGAGTTATTAAATTAACAGGCTAGCAAGCAAAGGACAGGTAAGATTCTGCACAGAGCCTTACCAACCTAAGACATCAGTGCATTGCCTTTGATAATGCATATTCCATGACAGGTAAGGAAGGCATTCTTGTCAAACGACCTAAGACAGGCTCAGTCTTCTTAACAAAATAAAAATGGGAGAGAGGTAGAGAGCCTTTAGGGCTGCTTGGCAAGAAGCTGACGTGGGCCAAGAACAAGGAAATGGGCAGCTTGGCAGGAATATGACATTGGCCAAGGACAAGGAAGTAGGCTTCAAGCAGGAATCTGACATTGGCCTTGAACAAAGAAGTAATTTCAGGTAGGAGTCTAAAAAGTAAGCTACAACAAAGATGTAATCTTAGGCAGGAATCTAAATATTAGGCCAGAACAAAGAAGTCATTTCAGACAGGAATCTAAATTTAAGGCTAGAATAAGGAAGTAGGCTTCAGACATGAAAATGACTTTGGGCTAGGATAAGGAAGTAGGTTCAGATACTTTGGTTCATCCTGATAAGCCTTTAGAAACAGTGATCACAGTAGTGATCATGTAACTGGGTTTAATACCTTGCTTTTTCTTTGACTATTTGTGTTTATTGAATTGCTTGTTCCCCAACTATTTGCATCTATTGTATTGCTAGACACTCAACCAAGAAATGACCTTAATAAATGCATGTAATCAAAATGGTATAAAAGCATAAAGGAAGAGGGGGTATATGATAAGGGGTTCTAGGGAGGGGAAATGGGGAAAGGGGATCACATCTGTATTGTAAATAAATAAAATATCCAATGGGGGGGGGTGAAGAAAATGCCTCCATAAGACTATGCTGTAGAAAAGCCAGTGGGACATTTCCTTAGTGATTGATGTCAATAGGCCCAGCCCAATAGGGGTGGGGTCTTTCCTTGACTGGTGGTCCTGGGTTCTATAAGAAAACAGGGTGAGCAAACCATGAGGAATGAGCCAGTAAGCAGTATCTCTCCATGGTCTCTGCATCAGCTCCTGCTTTGAGGTCCTGCCCTGACTGAGTTCCTGTCCTGACTTCCATCAGTGATGAACAGTGCTATGGTAGTGTAAACCAAAGAAACCCTTTCCTCCCAACTTGCTTTTAGCCATGGTGTTTTGTTGAATAGAAACCTTAATTAAGACAGAAGCGAACGGTAGTTGTGCAAGAACAGCAGGCATATAAAATGTTTATGGAGCCCTGAGCTTCCTGCCTTCTTACTCCTGAGACTGGCAGCCTGTATTTGAAGTACCTGCAACATTTGTCCTAAAATTCAGTACAATTGCAAGTTGTCTGTTCTAGAAGACTAACACCAAAATAGAAAGGTATGAAACATTCCTTTTCTGGCATGAGGATGAAATTTTCCTTTTCAATATGACAAGGAAGGGCCCTGTCATATTGAAATAAATTGGAACACTGTTGGGAAGATGGAAAAATTACAATTTACAGATAACCACAGGGATGAGAAAAAGTAGGATTTTCCCCATAAAAGAAACTTATTTTCAGTAGCCAATGGGGCTGAAAGTAGATAGCTTCTATTTTGCTTAAATGTGCATTTTTCTACAATAAAAATGGTAATGCAAAATAAATGGAGTTTGCTTTTCTGTCTTGTCACAGTAAGTTGCTTGGCTAAGTGTTAAGGCTTTTTAAATGTCCAATTTTCCTCTGTCACCCCAACACCCATTATGTTTGTCAGGCTGACATAATGTTTTAAGTATTACAAGCCAAATGCTTGCAGTATTTTGCAATCAAAGAATACATTTGTATTGTATAATTTGATGGCTATTTGAGGAGCATAAGTACTACTTCTCTGATTCTCTAAATCATGAACTTATACTGAGAAATGTACATATTAATTAGTGAATAGAAAACAGGCCATTTCTAAGTTCCAAATATTTAATATGGCTAGTCATATAAAATGAAACACAAGCACCTGGTGTCTCTGTGAGCAAAGAGAGAGAAAACAGGAAAGTTAAAGTTGCTGAGAGAATATTCTCTACCAGACATTTGGATTTTTATGTATCTATCTAAAATAAGGTACAAGGTTTACATTAACACACACACACACACACACACACACACACACACACACACACAGGCACACTGAAATATATGAAAGAGACATTTTACAAGTTAAAGATGCTAACAATTTGTATTTCAACCCAATAAAGAACCTCATATAATCTCCATAACAGTTTGAATATTTTGTCATTGTCTCCACATTTAAAGAGTTGGGGAGACAAGGTTTTAAAATACTAGGCTGCTTTTCCCATAGTGCACTTCTGTATTTTGCAAATATATTTTGGATCCAGAGAAGATTTAGGTTTTTAGAAGGGAACACCAAATTTTTTCTTACCTCTGTTTGTACCATGGCTGGTCGTTGTGTTCTTAACATTTTGACTGTCTGGAAGATATCTACAACCCCTTCATATCTCATTCTTTCCAACACAATACTCAATGTTATGAAGACTCCAGTTCTTCCAACGCCCGCACTGCCATAAGAACAAATGCAATGTGAGTAAAGTGTTCATAGTCTTGCACAATAGACTTCCTTCTACCAGCTCCCACATTCCCAGTTTATCCACAAGCATGTTAAAGATAAAGTGGGAATGCTTTTACTATGTGTTTATCAGGTGTTGCTATAATATGCAAGAATATGTAACTAGAATTGGGTCTTATAAAGTAGACTGCATTTCTGAAATACTGTGGAACGCTAGTTGGAAAGGTCAAGAAATAATACTATAAAAGCAATAGGTAAAAGTATAAACAGATCAAACACAGGATTGATTGTACTCTTCATATAAACTCTAAAACTGAAGCCCTTGACTCTATGTACAGTACGAAGTTAATTAGAATAAGGCAGAACATATCATGTAGAGTCCTCTTTTCTAGTGTATTAATAACATAAACTGTGAAGGTTATGACATCATCTAAACAGGCAACACCTTATGTAAAAAGACATGCAGACTTCAACAGTATTGATATTGGGATATGAAAATATAGATTCTATAGTAGACTTCTGTTATGGGCAGGTTTTTTCTTAGCCTTTGAGAAACTATGAGTATCCAATATACATTGATTGTAGAACTATCAAATTATACCCCAGCTTCCGGAAAGCTATAACTTTCAACAGATTTTCAAAAGGCCCTTTGACAATACAGCTATGAGCCAGTGAGCGCTACACTGAATTGCTTCTTTTTCGGTGAGCAGCTGCTAAAATATCCCAAATTTCTTTCTACCATTTCAGCAAGGTTTTGAATGTCTTTCTGTTTCTTTTGTATTTTATGATAATTCCAGAATCTTCACAACAGCAAGGAAGAAAACTGACAGCTTTTGTATTCTTAAAAAGTGATGTTTGTGGGTTCAGGTAACAAGAACACTGAGGAATCTGAAAAAAAAATCCCTACGTTTTTGGATCTTAATTAAATATTGTGTATAACGCTTGGGCACAGGCTGTTGAAAATAGATGGATTCATTTACTCTGGGATGTAGCTGACAGGCATATATAAATAGCATGTGCTTTTACAAACTGCACTTTCTCATGAATCTAAGGAAAAATGCTAAGTAAGGTTTTAATCCAATGAGCAGTTGTTAAAAAGGAGTTGGACACATTCACTCCCAACAACAGTCAAGGGATCTTGAATGACCTTCCATCCCTGAATGTCTCACACTTATGAGAGACTCTGACTTGTGGCATTTTTGTTGAATCATCTAGATATTCTAGGGTGTATCTTACTTTGACTTGATTAATCAATATAACCAAATACAGTACGTCTGGATTTCTATTAAGAGTTTTTGAGAAAAGAACAGGCATCTGCCTCATTCACTTCTAAATTTATTGAAGCTTACTTTGGTAGTTCAATATGCTAGAAATAAGTGCGATTTCAAAGCATTCAAAATGAAGAAAAGATATGTCTGAATTAGCAGAAGAAATTATATGCTAGATTTAAAAAAATAACCTATTGTGTTTCAACTCTAGTTTATAACATCAATTTTAAATACTAGAGGCCACACATCCCTTCATATCTACAGCAAGGGATTTGGGCAGCATAATGCAAATGCTTCTGAGTCTGAGAAACAAAGCAGTGCTAGAAGAGATCACAGAGACCTGCAGAGATAATGGAAGCTCACTGTTATATGCCTTCATAAAAGTATAGATCTGGGACAAGAGCATGTATCCTAAAGCCTATTGTCTAATTTCTCTAGTTTGAGATCTTCCTTCCTAGGATAACAATAGGTTTTTAAAGCACCAGACATTTTAAACATAAATGTTAAGACTGACTGTAAACATATTGAAACCTGAAACGTCAAACTGTTAGAATCCTGATACATCATATTTTAAAAAAAAAAAAATAGGTGAATTCCCTTCACTATGTTTGGCACATACAGTAGCTTCCAAACGCACTAAATTTATGGTGGATGTCAAAGGCATTCACTTAGTATTTCTATTAACTTCAGTGACTTAACTTATAAAATGCTCTAGAAACTGTTGAAAATAATTAAATTGAAGGTGCTTCATTTTCTGATATAGCAACAATTTTCAAGCAAATTGCATTTTGAACTGAGGCACCATACTAATCACTTATTGAGTTGCAAGAATTAGTATTGCTATTAAGGTTTGGCAGCTATTCACAGTTCTTTCAAGAGACAAAAGCAGAAGATACAGAAAGGCAGTTGTAAGTGCAGTTACATAAAAAGAAAGCAAACACTGAAAGGGATTAGTATTATACATTATTGCTAGGGACACACCAACGATTCCTGGTAACTTAAAATTGTTTGTTTTCTTTTTTTTTCTACAAAGGATCATTTTGGGGGATAAAAACATTCTTCTATTTATTTTTTCATTTTATAGAAAAATTAAACAAATATTTACATTATATCTCATAGAAAATTTTGAAAACAAATTTGAATTATACAGATTTACCATAACAAGCTTGTATACAAAGTGAATAAAGAAGGCCCCTTTTCAAAGCTAACAAGCATTATAAATGTCCAGTTAGTGTTAGTGACTCTCTGCTCACCTGCAATGCACTGAAATGGGCCCATCTTGGCCAAACTGTTCCTTTGTTTTATGGACTTGGCCGATGAAGTCAATAAATCCTTCTCCAGACTTTGGCACTCCTTGTTCTGGCCAGTCAGTGAACTGGAACTGCCTCACTGTTCGGGACTGGCCGTCCTTTAGAGGGGAAGCCACATAACCAGCCATGAAGCAGCAAGCCAGAGGGATTCAGCAAGTACAAAGACCACAAACACATTCATGATTTTTTCCCCAAAAAATGAAACGAGAAGAAAAGTTAGGAATATGTCCAGTGGAAATTTAGTTATGTGTGTGTCTTATCTACTGCCTACATTGTCAACATTAATATATATTTAAATTACAAATTTACTTGAGTTATCTTCTTCAGAAATACTTATGAGCGTCAAAGTTTGAGATATTCAAATGCCACACAAACACACACACACACACACACACACACACACACACACACACTCATTTCCCCTCACATCTTATATTCAATCTAATGACGTCATCTAAGAAAGAGTGTGAAGGAAGTATGCAGGCATGTCACCTAGATCAGAGACTTGCTACTGTCACAATTATGTTGTCACATCAGCCATGCATATTTCTCGTACCATAAATGACAAATGGTAAAAAGATCTAACATAAACCAGGTAATTGTTGACTTGCCTACTCTAACATGACTCTGAGATCCACATTTTCCAGTCATGTGTGAGACACAACATGAACCATGGAGTGATATTAAAATTCCAGTTTACGAGTAGTATGCCCGTTCGTTTTTGTCAACCTGACAAAGACCAGAGTCTCAGGGAGAAAAATCCTCAATTAAAGAATTGTTTCCATCAGACTGTCCTGTGTACACATCAGTGAGCATTTCCTTGATTAGTGATTGATACGGGAGGGTACAGCCAACAGTGGCAGTACCCTTAGATGGGTGCTCCTGGCAGCTACAAGAAATCAAGGGAAGTAAGAGAGACATGGGAGAGCAACAGAGCAAGCAGTGTTCCTCTATGGCCTCTGCTTCAGTTCCTGCTTCTATGTTCCTGCTTTGAGCTCTTTCCCTGGCTTCCCTTGATGATGAACCTGTAACCACATAAATCTTTACTTTCAACTTTCTTCTGGTCAGTTTTATCACAGAAACAGTAAAAGGAACTAATATAGAATCCAAGGCGAGTATTTTCAAGTATTGTACCACTGCCCCCCCTTTTTTTCCCAAGACAGGGTTTTTCTATGTAGCACTGGCTATCCTGGAACTCACTCTGTAAACTAGGCTGGCTTTGAACTCAGAAATCTGCCTGCCTCAGCCTCTCAAATGCTGGGATCAAAGGTGTGCTCCAACACTGCCCAGCTCTCCCACTTTCTTTTAATCAGAGGTTTCTTCCTGACTGGCTTCAGGAATTAAGTAATATACAAAGACAACTCCAAAACTCTAAGAAAACAAGCCCTATCTAAAATATGATAATCCAAAAAAAATAGGTGTACTTCTTTTAATATAATGCTTTGTACACATGGGAACTTCCACAAGCACTAAATTAATGGTGGATATCTGAAGCATTTACCTGGTATTTCTATTAAACTTTTTTCTAAAGAGAATATATAAAACTTTTCAAGAAGTTCCACATTAGTAAGAGAAGGTCATGAATTACTTCTGATTCTTTTGGGAATTGTTTGAAGTACAACAGTAGCAGAAGGGATGCTTCACTCATAGTACAGGAATTCCTGTTCTGACTCATCAGGGTAACACATAACTTTACCCATGGTTACTGAGATTGATCCCACTTGAAGAGGTACCCCCAGTGGCTTCCTGCTTCACATACTTGGGAACTAATCTTTCCTACTAAGATTCTTATGGCATCAGGTATGCATATTTGTAAGATTTATAGAGATAACTCAATCCCAGGCAAATTGAAAAAACAGGTTAACTCAGGATGGGTACACATCATAGATCCTGGTGCTGCAGAATCGATGCCTGAGAGTAGAAGAACAGAAGACCACAAAAATTCCATGAGAATACAGAGGAACACAGAAGTATTTGGCCTAGTTAGTAACTCCCAGTCGTTTAGTATAGACAAGGTGGATTTATTTCCCTCTTTTTCTGGGAAAATTTTTGGAGGGTAAAGGGAAGAAAGTCAGAAGCTCCACATGGCAGAGGTTTCTTGAGTGTCCTGGGGATTTCATTTTTTTTTTAACCTAAGTCACTTGTAACTTCAAAAAAGTCAGATGCATAAACATTTACTATTTGGAGAGAGATTATCGGATTGCTTAAAGGTTAGTTGCTTAACAATGCTATATTCTCAAGGGCCAACTGGCTCTCTGAACTCTGAACCTGAGACCGGAAGCATGATGGGAGCTAAGCATAGAGTCTTCAAAACGCTGTGAACATGGTCCTGCTACCCTCTTTCTTTTCTCAATGTCATTAGGTTTAACTTGGAGCTGCGATAAATGTGTTCCCCATGGGTTAAATCTGTACTCTCCTTTCTATTACCAGAAATAGCTAGGAAATTTAAGGGAGGGAGAGTAGCAAGCAACAGGGAGTGCTTACTTGGACAATTAAAAAATGAGATCTTGGATCATGATAGCTGCCTTGATATAGTCACATTCAGAGTATTTGATATACCACTTTCTAGGATTAACAAGTCTGTCACCTGGGCCAACCCTCCTGTGAATCTGTCTCTGTCTCCTCTGTCTGTGTCATAGCTAGGGCTAGCTTTTGGGAATTAGTAGACAATCTACAAATATGAACTTAGAGCAAGCTGCTTTCCAAAAACAAACAAACAAACAAACAAACAAACAAACAAACAAACAAACCAACCACACAAAAAATAATGGATCTACTAACTACATATTATCCCCTGGAATTTTAGTTAACCCACCCGCGATGACTGTTCTAAACCTAAAGCTGGACTTTGAAGTGAACGGGTCTCCCTAAGATGTGTTTGCAATCATAGTTTAAGAGTGGCTAATGGCAAAGATATTAAAGTTTATGTGTAGAACCACTCACATTAGGGCTGAGCCTTGGACTCAGCAATCTTTGTGAGAAATGCGAATGGAAATTAGCTAACAAGGATTGTGAATTCACAGCTCTCATGGACAGACACATTAGCACATAGAGGAACAGACGATGCCAGGAATCAAATTAGAATGTGCAAGGCTTGTCAGAACCTTTAAAGGAATGCCAATTGCTCTGCAGTTTTAAAGTCATACCAAATTAACCTACAAGCCCATATGACCTCAAGGACTGTAAAACAACAACATATTTAGAGCCTTAAGTAGTGAAGAAATCAAAAGCTCTCCAATGAGAATGTGCTGAAAAGGTGAACTTAAGTGCAGCCAACCAATCAGTAAATGCTTCCCAACACAAGCTCTCACTGCATTCCCAAAGCTGGGCTTCCAGGTGGTACATTTGAAGGGAAGCCAAGCCTAAGCGTATGAAAACACTTCCCAGATAGAGGGAGTATTACAGATTCTTTTCCTTTAAAGTCATCTATAATGCATGATTTCTTTTCCTTTTGAGAATGGTTATTGGCAAATGTTTCTCCCAGTGGAGCATATTTAACCCTAATTTCTAGCTAATGGTGAGCTGAACTTACCCTGGCATCCGTGACCTTGAATTCTCTCAGGATATACTGTGGCATGTTGTATTCAGCCATGGGATCTACAACAAAATACTGGTATCTTGCAGATCGTTCGGCTGGCCAGTACTGGTGACATTTCTCCTATAAGGAAAGATTAATGTAAAACTCTATAAGGTGTAAAAAAAGTTTTGTTTATCTACATTGGTTCTCCTGTTAATGAAATTCTCAAATTTGAGGCAATTTCAATTACATGTATCTACTCTTTTGAGTCTCTCTCCTGAAGACAGGCAAGCTATCTGTGGTAAATATTTTTTCCAGAAAAACCAGCACAAAGTCTGGCAAATCATAGCTGCTTATTAAATACCAGTTGGAATGAGTGCTTAAACTTGGTAGTTATCTTTTATGTATAAATTATTTAAATAATTATAAAATTCCTTGGGCAATGATATTGGTACTGTATTATATCAGCACACTTGGTTTTATACCATTGTGGTTTATATTTAGAAAATCATGGAGGACAAAGCAAAAAGAAGCCCGAGATGACCCAGTTCAATATTATCTGTTAACTGAGGAATCTGGGGTCCCAGTAGTTCTGATGACTTACGATAACCTTACAAAATCAGCAGGCAGATTAAGGCAAGGTAGATAACTTCTTGGCTTTATATCATTTTGCTTTCTAAATGAGCTCTAAGAGTTGGGTTTAGCTATAAGTCTATCATGTAATTTATAAAAAGAGACAGAATGAGACTATCTCCAAGGGCACAGCAAACCTGCTTTCAGGTGCTGTCCAGTTGGTGGCCCTTCAAGTATCTCTCTGATGCTACTTGATATGTACTTCAGAACAATTATTTTTAAAATCTAATTTGCTATTATAACTGTTGAAATATTATGCAGCTTTCTAGAACCATGTTCCATGGCCAAGAGAAATACAGTTTGGCTTAAGAATGAAAGACAAAAATTCAAGTTTCTTTATATGAGGATATGATGGTCCATTTGATCATATAACCATAACCTAGTCAGACAAAAAGTAATAAGCATATGTCAAATGTAAGTCATTAAGTACCACTGACTGACTCATTTGTCTCTACTATTGCATGTCTCTGCAGCCAAAGTACTGAATCATTCAAAAACATGTAAATTAATAAGTTTGATGTGGTTTTCCAAATTGAGTGACACACTTACTCTGCCCATTTCTCTCAGCTTGGTGAGCATCACAACAATGGTGGAATTGTGTTCCCAAAGCATTCGCCAAAAGTCTTCAGTCGTCTCTGCTAAGGGCCCCTGGGTAGCAATGTAGGCTTTCTGTTGTCTGAGTAGAGAGAATGAAGAGAAAAATGATAAAGTATTTTGAAGACATGCACAAATTGATTTGTGAATTGTTGATACTAGTCCTACTTATATCATTAATTCAATTGCAGGGGATTCCTATTAGGATGCATCATCAATAGGATTATTTAATACCATGTTGGGAACTTTGTAGAATCAATGATGTCGTTAATATTACTATGTATGTCTTTATCATTGTTATTTAAATTTAGTGCAATGCTACTAGCTCAATTTCATGTGTTATATGAATTAATTAGATGCTTAGTTGTGTGACTTCATTTTCTAGAAACAATGCTCACATAATCTATTGGGTTGATGAAAAATGGCACTAAATAGCTTCCTTATCAACTTCCAGATCTAAATGGTTTCCGAAAGAATAGGCTACAAGGTCAGATTAAAAGAAGAAATAGTAAGAAGCTGAGGAGATGGTTTTGTTGGTAAAGGATATGCTATTCAGATCCTCAGCAATCATAGAATCCTAGAAGGGAGATGGGAGGTAGGCAACAGGTCTTATTAGCCAGCCAATTCAGCTGAAGGGATAAGCTCTGGGTTCAGTGATAGACATTTCTTAAAAAAAATAAGATGGAAAGCAACTGAGGGAGACATGTAATGCTGATTTCTGGTATTCACATGCACACATACCCATAACACACCCATTCACTTATAAACACACACACACATCATACCCACTTACATGTACACACCTATATAAGCATGTACATATACCACACAAGCACACTACCCCACTCCTATATGCAATAGAAATATCATTACTACTGCTTAATTCTATCTAAAAATAAATGCATAAATAAGCCACCACCATCATGGAATTGAATGATGATGTATTCAGAAAGAAAATGGCATTAAATTGAGATGAAATTCTTTGTGATTACAAATCTATAGCACATGCAAATATCAAGGCTTTGGATTGTCAAGAGAGTGAGGGTACATACCTATATCCATCAAGGAAACTGGCATTGATGTAATCAGAGCCTTCAACTCCTCGGATAGGCTGCAGGCACACCCTTGTGGACTCATATGGCATAATATTAACAAGGCGGTTTTTAAATTTATTACATGGAAGATTGGCACTGATGAATCTTGAGGTGTGAGCTTTTGAGCTTGCTAGACGCTGTTGAATTTAAAAAGGAAAAAAAAATTAACAAAGGTAATTTTAGCCAATGATTTGAATGCAATGTACCTAAGATGCCCGTTTTAGATATCAATCTTCTGTTTACTTGATAACAAATATTCAAAATGTATTTCCTGTTAGCCAATTATTTCATATAGCCTACAGAATATTATAAACATTGCGTTTTGAGAACATGATTTCTGAATTTAAATGAGAACACTATGGACCCAGTTATTGAAAGGGAACAAAAAATTGAAGAGATAAAAAATAGAAGAGGCGAGAGGAAAGAGAAAGAAAGGAAGGAAGGAAGCAAGAAAGGAAGGAAAAAGGAAGGAGCAGGAGTGCGAGCGGGAGCTGGAGAGGGTCGGGGTGGGGTAGGGGGAGGGGTAGGGGGAGGGAAGGGGTACTGGAGGGGAGGGGGAGGGGGAGAGGAGGGGGAGGGAGAAAGGGAGAAGGAGAAGGAGGAGAGTGTTTTATATAAATCTGATACCAGAGAAGGTCAAGGGAAACTTGCACTTCAAAATTTGAAAGATAATGATGTGAAGCCTATTTCAAAGATAAAATGACTTACTGGTGAGTAACTACATCATAGCCAATGTCTTACCTTAAATTCGAGCTCCATTCCGGTGACATTCTCCCCTGTTTCTATTTGTGTCAGCTTCTGAATATAGGCATATAAGTTCCTAGCCGGCACTTCGGTATTTCCACATGTCACTGCTTCTAACAGTGCATCGTGTATAAAGATGTACTGGTCTTCTGTTTGCACCATGTAATTCCTCTGGGCTCTCATTAAAGTTACATGGCCATAAATATCTACAGTTTTTTCATGCTTTATTCTTTCTAACATGGCATCTATTACAATGAAACAGCCAGTTCTGCCAACACCCGCACTAAAAAACAAACAGAGGGAGGAAAAAGTCCACATACACTTAGCAAGAAACTAACACATAAGAAAATCTTTATTAATTTCATTAATCAGATCTCAAACTTATAAATTTGATTTGAATAGCTATTGCAAGAATTTCTCAGTCACTCTGGAGTGAAAAATACTAAAGCACCAGTTACTTGCATGTATGTAACAATATACTGAGTAAGGTTCGTTTCATTTCAGAATATAGAAATGCTACATCTTTAATTACTTCCATCTTTGGTCATATTATACAATAAAGGTATTGTTAGTATAAGTCTGAACTCAGTGACGTCACATTCAGGCGACAGGTGACTGCTACATAATTGCCAAGGCAACCAATGTACACTCCCACAATTCACCTGGCCACCTCACCTGGACCTGGGAAAAGCTACGTAGTCACTCGTACAAATAGTGAGAACTCCTCCGACCTCGCTCTCTTCTCTCCTTTCCCTGCCACCTTCTCCTGCTTCTCCCCCCACCCTCCGCCCTGAATAAACCCCTTTCCTTCGTGGAACCGGCTGGTCTCGTGTTGTCTGTCTAAGCTGCGTGCTGTAATCTTTTAGGTATTACTTTTAATGTATAGAAAAGACATAAACATTAATTAGGCTTTTATATTCAGATTTTTTAAATTATTGTTTAATATCTAAATAGAGAGTACATGTTGTAGTTCATGTCTGTAATCCTAGCACTTGAAAAATGGAAGTAGGAAGATCAGGAGTTCAAAGTAAGCATAGTAAGTTTGAGGCTAGCCTGGGATACAAAAGGCCTTGTTTCAAAGCATGAACAGAAATTATCTAGTTAGGCTTTTTAAGCAAAGCAATCTCAGGTTGATTTTCGGTTGAATTTATAATAAAAAAGAAAATAAAAACAGTATCTATTAATAACTCAAGTATCTCTTGTAAAATTCTGTAAGGAAATTTTAAAACTAATCTAGTCTGATATATAAAATTAATATATCCTATACTAATTAAAATATTGTTGCACCATAAACATAATGCAGGGCAGTATTAAGAGAGAAATTATTAATAAATAACAATCAATTGGGAAATTCTCCCCTCTTATTCTCTTTTTTTTTCAGCATTAAATGTACTTGAAATTTTTTAGTGAAATTCAAGCATTCTCCATGGGAAAATGAAAGCCCCAATCTTTGTTGTGCAAAGAAATTGAAAGCAATTTCTAAACTCCATTACATGTGGACTTATGGGTCAGTGTTCCAGTTTGACGAACCAGACTGAAAGAAAAGGACATGAAAGAGACAAGCTGTAATGGGTGGCAAGGTCTGCTACTCCAAGGAGATAGGCTCACAAAGGAACTGGCTTACAAAGGCAGGGGCTTAAAACAATGAGCATCTTCTACTATGAGGGAAGATGCTAAGAAAATAGCACACCTATGTTCTTACACTATCAAGGTAAGCCTTATGTTTCTTTTGATCTAATCTTACAAGCTGAGTATATTATGTATTCAGAATGGATCAATCCAAAATGCCTTCTTTTGACTATGTATATTTGCCTCACAGTAAATATGCATTCAGCAGGAAGAGGTACATATCACTAACTTAGGTTCTGTTCTAGTTTATTTTCTGTTGCTTTGATAAACACCATGACCAAAGTTAACTTGGAAAGGACTGGTTTATTTTAGCTTGTAGCTTACAGTCATTCATTGAGGGAACCAAGACCCCAAAGCTTTACACAGAAACCAATGGAGGAATGTAGCTTATTTTCTTGATCCCAGGCTTTGTTATATAGCTCAGGCTGTTAGGATAGTACTGCCCAAAGTGTGTTGGATCCTTCCTCTTACATCAATTAATGATTAAGAAAAATGTCCCACAAATATACTTACAGGCCATCGGATACAAGCAATACTTTACCTGAGGTTCCCTGTTCTAACATGTCAAATTGACAAACAAGATTAGTCATTACAGACTTCTAGTAGCAGAAAGTCTTCATTTATGACATGCCACTGTCTGTTGGCATCTGTCTGTTTTTATTTTTATTTTTTGTACAATTGCAAATCTATCTCACCAGCCAATAAACAATGAAGTATTTTGCTAAGTCATGGAGGATATAGGACAATATGATAAATTTTTCTTATTATTGAAGATTCTAAAGCCTATCAAAAAAGTAGTGATTTACATAAATACATTACAGGAAAAGAAAGGACTGTGTTGGTATGGATTGGAAATGGGACTTGAAGGATGAGGATTGAGGTGATGGACCAGCAAGAGAGGTAACTTCAAATCATACTGCTTCCTTCTATGAGCTACAAGTGAAAATTTTCATGGATCAGGTCTGTATAAAGTCTCAGACGAAACTATACAAAGAATGAGTCTGATAAAGACCAGGTCTGTTCCCTTATCAATTAGCAGTCTCTCTAGTGTCATGTGTCTACAAGGTAGTAAGGAAAAATTTTAAAATAATTTAACTATTGGTCACACAAGAACCTGTCATTTGTAGACCATAAAATTTCCACACAATCCCTAATTTAAAGTTGAATATGGCTTTATGTCCTTTGCCAAAGGTCACTGGACTCTTAGGCTTTAAGTTCACAAAGTAACATGACATTGATAGAGCCTGCAAAAAGCCTTTGGGGAATGTAGAATGCTATAATCTTTTCATTCTTATTTGGAACAATGTCTAAGGAACACTGGTGAATACACCTCTTCTTAGCCTTTTTGTGTTTATAACCCCTGTGTGAATGAACTACGATTTGAGAAAAAATAAATAAATTATTTAAAAAGAAAAAGAAAAATACACTACAGATCTATCTAAGACTATACATTAAGTTGACCATAGTTTTAGCAAGAACATGTTATTAACCCCCAGTCTGGCACTAGCTAAATGTCTAGATGACATGGTATTCTACAGCATTGCAGGAAGGCACTGCATAGTCTCAGGAAAATAAGAAGAATAATTCCAAGTCCAAAGAGTTGAAAGTTTTTTAGAGCAATGATATTACTCCCCCAACACATAAAGGTAAGAAAAACGAATCAAATATCCACTTGAGTCTAAAATGAAAAAAATATGAGAAGGGACAAAAGGGAGGCTCTGAGTTGAACAATATGTGTTTTTACCCCACAAAACACAACAAACTGTTCACTGGTTATTATTGTTTATGGAGAAGAAAGGGAAGGTATTGGCTGCCTTAGAATTTATGTGATCTCATTTTTCTGGAGAAAAGGATTTCAGTGAAGAATTAGGTATATGCCCATCTTAAAGCAAGTCTATGAAATATAAAGTACTTTTCCATTCCAGGTCACAATGTGACCTTGAGGATGTCACATACACCTTTTTTATTTTTTTGTGTATTTTTCATTTTTATTACATTTGATAATGATAATAGCTCTAGCCATTAGTGAATCTAATTATCCAGTAAGTCTTAAGGCTAAATTAAACTTATCAAGGTTTCTACAAAGGAAGAAGTTCTTTTGCAGGTGCATTTCTTCAATTCTATCACTGAAGACAACAAGGACAAAAGCAATGAAATTCTGGGAAAATGGTGAAAAATCACTTCTGTGTCAGTTGTGATTTAGCATTTAAAACTTTGTTTTAATCTACTCCCTTGGACTGTTCTAACTTCGTTCTGTTACTTCTAACTAAAACAACTTCAGATCATTCCTCCCTCCCCCTTCTCTCTGGTTTTTAAAGACAGAGTTTCTCTGTACAGCAGTGCTCTGGCTGTTCTGAAATTTACTTTGTAGACCAGGCTGGCTTGTGGTGTGTAGTTTCTACAACCCTGCTTTAAGCTCCAGGTGGATCACACTACCAGCCACTGCCCTGGTTCCCTTGGATCCATGGTTGAAAGACATACACATTAACTCACTTTTAACCTGCCTTATGGCTCAGTGGCTGGGCTCTTCTAAGCCTCCCGAGGTTAGTATGCCCTTCCATTTACTTCTTGTTTAACACTCTAAATCTGTCCTCAATTTAGTTTCATGGTTACCTTCTCCTTGCTCAGCACCTAAATCTGTTCTCAGCTTAGTTGTGTTTTTAATGTCCTGTCTGCTACTTAAGGCCCAATCATGGAAGTAGCCAATGGCCACTCCACCCGGGATCTCACATGGTTGATGGCTCACTCTCCCTCCAAAGCATGGAAGACTTCTTCTCTTGAGTCTCCTAGCCTGCCTTTGGGAACCTGGAAGTCCTGTGCACTTCTGTGCAGCCACTGGCTGCTAGCATCTTTATTGATAGATCAAGAACAAACTGAGGAATAGGACCCAGATTCCTGATCAAAGCATCAGAACCACCCCTTACACTGGCCTTGAAAACAGAGAGATTTGTCTGCCTCTGCTTCTTGAGTTGTGGGATTAAAAGTGTGTACCATCACACCCAGCCTTTCTTTTAAGTAATACAGTTATGACCATATTCATGGCTTTTTCACATCAAAAAGCTAAACAAGTCTATAATCTGCCCACCTCTGGCTCTTAGTTTATGTTGGTCTTTCCACATTCTTATAATTGTCATCTGCTCACATCTACTTTCCTTGATAATCACCTCAAATGCTGTACTCTAGAGGGAAATTTCCCCAGAAGATTCTACTTTTGCAACAACAGGTTCTCCATCTTCAAGTTTGGTCAGATGATCAGATCAGTATGGAGGAAGGACAATGGCTTCTTTGCCTGTTTGTTTGTATCCAACAACTTCACTTGGCAGTTTTCATGCCAGAGAAATTGAAGGAGATCAAACTAGTTGCAAACCAAAAGATACCAAGAGTAAAAATATCAGACCTTTTCCTAGATCATGACAAGTAATACTCCCAAACCCCAACATGGGAGACTATTTATTCATATTTCGAAGATAAAGCAAGCTGCTAAAGAATTCCATGTGAAGGAAACATCTCGAAGCTGTGCACTCCAGCTGCTTAAAAATGGCAGTCCTCAGATACCAGTCTACATCTGTAAGAAACAGAAAAGCTGAAAACTCTGAGGTTTTACAAGTGTGCCAGATGACTTCTGTTTTGATTTCTGAGTTCCCACAGCAGCAC